TTTAAAGGGAATTAAAAAGTGGTACGTGACCTGACTATGCAGGCCCGCATTAACCACTTTTTGAGTTCACTGTACTGCAGGTTCATGTGATATCTGTTTTTGAGTACATATACAGTATTCAAGTCAATGCACATTAAACTTCCCCTTTGAGGCGTTAGAAGTACATAGACTTTTTTCCCCCTTTTTCTTACTTGAATAAAAATCCTCTTTTGCGTGACTGAACTGAAAGGGCATCAGCCACAACGCCAAAGGGGTTAGTTATATGTGTGTGTGTGTGTGTGTGGTGTGTGTGTGTGTGTGTGTGTGTGTCTCCATGACCTCACTTTTTCATATCTCACAATGGCATTCCGATGCTCTCACCTGGTGATTTGCAGCTTTCGTTTCCCCTTTTTATTGCCATTTGGAGCTTTAAGATGGGTGGATGTGTCTCTGTTTGAGCTGTAATTTAGTGCTATTATGCAAAATGCTGCAAATATTCAGGCTGGTGTTGCAAGGTTTTCAGATTAGTGCATGGAGGCGAGCTTCTTTATAATATTTGTTCTAAGATACATTTAATAAAGGCTTCTAATGATTTAATTTCATGTTCAGTTTAGTGAACTTCCCCTCTCTGTCTGACATCATTCACTGCTTGTGTGAGTATCTCTCTCCAACAACAAAAAATATTTACATTTAGCTAAACTGTTCCTTCTACAGTCTCCAAATTAATCTTTAAATGGATTTAAAAAATAATGAAAGAGGCACTTTCCATGTCCAAATAAGAATTTTGATACTATGTGTCCTTCATCTGAAATATGATGAGATCACTGCTATTTTGCAAAGATCTACTGCAGCTACTGTAGATGGAAAAATGTTCTCTGATAATCTTGAAAACACATTTCATGAGCATCTGACTGGCTCTACATGCAGTGTGTTTCTTTGTAGCTACGGGGCATGGTTACATGAAAATTGATGAGACAAGCTTCATCTTGTCTGCAGGTGTGTCTGAGCCATCTTAGACAAATAGCAACCAGCCGCCCACACACACACTCATACACACACGGACAGAGAGCAGAGAGGGTGCTGTCTGACTGGCAGGGCGTGTAGTGCTGCACAGTGAAGCTATATCACAGCTGCTGTAGAGGCACTACAGTGTCCAGTCACCTCAAGCAAGTGTTGATTAATGACCAGAGTGTAGCAGCACTTTCCTTGATAGAAATCCTTCTTTACGGTCGTTTACATGAAAATGATTTCACTATATCTTCCATTTGCTGCTTTGACTTCTAATTCCCAACATAACTGCTTGTAAAAGTCATCTTTTCATTGTGTAGATCTTCTGCATGCACTGATACCCTTTTATACATGCAGGGGTCATTTGAAAATCTCAGATTTGATCTGCTTTTCAACCATGAGAAGGCATGAGGAGTGATCTGAAAAAGCAGTTGGATCTTCTGCAACAATGTGCCTCTTCAGGTCTGCTGTAATTCAAAAACACGAGGCTATGTGGCTGCCTCAGTACAAACGAGCAGTAGCTGCTGGGTAAATGCATGACGAGGGAAACTGTATTATTTAGTTCCATGATGGAGACTTTATTTTGTTCTTATATTATAAGGACCCATTGTACCTTCCCTTTTCTCTGAGGATACCTTATGTTCAACTTACACTGCAGTGACCCTCGTATGCGTCCCATGTCCTCCATGGAAATGTTACTCTCAATTTATACTTCATTGACCCTGTACTATAATGGGTGTAGCTCCCATCTGGTTTATAGAAACCTTATTCTTAGTCGAGCTCACCTATAAGAGAAAACAATATATCCCTTCATCCAGCGTGGGTCTGTAGCTGAACAAATTATAGGAAAGACCACTGAGCTCACACTGGATCACTAATCGTACAATCATGATAGCATAGAGACATCATGGAATTACTGGACTGTGCAAAAGGGCATTACAAATCACTACCACCTACTGGTTCTGCCAGCACACACTGAAATATGAGTGAGCATGAACCCAACACTGTGCACTCTGTGAGTTCTTCAACATGAGCGCTAATGAAAAGTGACTAAAGGGTTGCTGTAGTGGAATCTGACAAGTGTCCAGAAATAGTCTGCTAATAAAACCAGTCCCCCCAGAGGCAAACCTTAGCGGTGATTCAGTCCCGTAAAATGTTTGGGCCCAGTGCTGTGAAAACAGGCAGAGAGCATGACAGGGAAAGACATGATTAGTCTATATAAGGAATTGCCTCTTGCTCTTAAGAAAAGCCATTATTGAAGAGCTATTGGTTGGCATGTAAACTTAAGGCTTTTACAAGGGTACCTTATTGCACATTCCAGCTATGAGGTCAGTCTGAGTTATTTTAACATTCAATCACGTAATAATCTCAGCATAGTTACCGTATGACACAGGCTGTCTTCCAGAACGAGACAGTATGTTAAACATTTCTTTCTTGGCTTGTGAAGAACAGAATTTTGGTCTATTCTGCTGCATAAATAAATAAAGGGTGTCACTGTGAGCAGTAAGGCAAGTATTTTCCAGAGTGTTTAAATTTAGTCAGCAGGGACTTTCTAAGTTCCTCTTTGCTCACCAGTATTTCTAAATACAGCAAAGCAAAATGAGACATCATGGGAATAAAAAGCAAGTCAAGTTAGCCATCGTTTTGGGTTGCCATGGAAATAACAGAGACTGTGCAAAAAGCAGCTCATAGATATGTAACCTAGGTTAATATAACCCTAATACAAATGGTTAAATAAATAATAAATATGATGTAAGCTAATAAATAACATTAAAGAGGTACTCCACAGTTAAACATGTTTTGTGAGCTGTAAACTAAATTATGACAGTACAGAATGATACAATATATGAGTAAGAATGCAAACAATGTTTACTGTGCAAACTGCAAGGTAGTAAAGACATAAAATCATACTGGAAATTGAAACTAGTATATTGGTTGATCCATTATATCACCCAGCAGCTGACCAAGCTGACCGACCGTTCAAACTTAGCTCTCGGTCTGTGGTCTGTTATTCCTGCTAGGTCCTAGCTATCTGTAAATATCTGCTACTGACAGACAGACAGACAGACAGAGTTCAAACAGGACCTTGACAGTGAAGCATTAAGGCAGATTAATGCTACATTATAATTGCTGTGTCATTATCTTTTACAGTCAGATGCTGACTAGTGTTTCCTACAGACAGAAATGTCTGATCTGTCTTACAAGAAAAACACAGATATTAGCATGACCTTGTGTGGTCGTGGGATAACGGAGAAGTAAAACATACTTCCCTTTAAACAGTGTCTAAAAAGGGACTTGTATTCAGTGTCACAGCCGTTTAAGTGAAAATGATAACAGAAATTATTAGATTGAAGCAGATTCTTAATTTCTAATTTGTAGCTACAGGAACATTTTAACACAGGAAGCGAGTTCAATTAGGAAAAACTAAAAGAACTTTTCTTTTAAAACCCTGTTCAACTTTATATCAGCATGACAGTAACTGAATCTTTTGCTTGCATTCATCTCCTCACTGTGTCATATTTTCCCATCTCATTATTATCCCAGTATAAAGTTTCTCTCTCAGGTAATCGCTGTTACAAAACAGACAACACTTGACATCAGACATGTATTTTTACTCACTGAGCTAAACAGAAACTTTGAAACAAACTTGTGAACATTTCTGTGGGTTTCCTTAGCCTTGAGGAGAAGCCCAAACCTTGTGACACTTTAACTACACGTGTGTGTAACCAATGACTTTTTACAGTTTGAAGTTAAGATGCTGAGATAAACCGAGAGTTTTTCCCTTCAAGTATGGAGACTGACATTCCTGACATTCCTTGTTTATTCCTGGTCCTCAACTACAAATGCTAAAAACAAATAAAGTTGATAGTCTTACTCACATGCCATTACGGCATGATTTCCATTCAGTTCAGTTCAGTTCAAACTGTGCATCAATGCGTGTGTGTGTGTGCCTTGAATTAAGGCTGAAATGCACTCTCAGATGGTAAATACTCTCTCAAAAACACCCACACATAAACACACACTCCTGGCACTATGCCTTCTGCAAAAAAACTCCCCATCCAAAGTCTTGAGCATGTAACATCCTGTAGGTGATGTGATAGACTACAGAACAAACTCTCTGCTGAGCTTGTCCCTCAGGTCAGTGCAGCCCTGAGAGACACTTTCATACTGTATGTGTGTCAGCTCTCATATCTGAATGGCTCCTGAGGACTTTGTGTAGTTCAGCTGATGCAGGGAGGGGGCATTAAGGAGCTCTGCTGGCACACTGCAAAGATCAAACTCCATTTCCTATTTGGCCTTAAATCATGAGTAGAAAATTGCAAAGCGTAAAAACAAATTGGAGACAAGAATAGGCCAAAAAATGAACACAGTTTAGGCAAACACACACGATGGCTATAAAAATGAAAAGAGCAGAGAATTTGACATCATGTAAATCAGTGAACCAGAGAGTACACAGATCAAAGGGGCATGGGGGTATGCTGGACAAAAAGGTTGGGAACCGATTGTTGTAAATTATTTATCAAATATAACAAATGTACACAGATGAGAGGGCGTTAGAAGTGTGGCTTAGTAATAACATTAAACAGTATATCCAGTTC